CAGGCGCCCGCCCCGTGGCCGCCAGGGGGCGCCCCGCCCGGGTGCCGCGCGCACGCAGCCCGTCCCCGCTCAGGGCTCCATTCTGCGCTGCCACACTTGATCTTCATCCCAAGTCCCGGTGCTCGGCGTTTATTTTTTTCTCCTCCCTGGGCTCCAGGATGTTATTTTTAGTAGAAGAACTTCTATAAATATTTATAAAGGGCAGTGACTGGAATGAAGTGAGAGGCCCCGCAGCTGGCGCTCGCATCCCCCAGCGCACGCCTCTGCAGACCCCTGCCCGCTGCCCGCGGAGGTCTGTGCGCAGCCAGAGCGCTCAGCCCAGCCAGACACGGCGAGTCACATGGGAACCTCGTGAGGGAGCCGCCGGGGTACGGCAGGGGCGGGGTTAGTCCTTCCCCTGCACTGTCTCTGCTCCCTCGGTTGCCCTCCTTCCTGGGGAGGCGGGCAAGGCTTGTGTGGGGGAGAGCCGCACCCGCGAGTACCGAGTACGGGGTGAGGGGCAGGTGCGCGGAGCCTGCTCCCGCCGATGCCCGCGAGGAGCAAGGGGGCCAGGAGCGCGTCCCCTGGGTGTAAGATCGTGCCCCCTCCGCGCCTGGGGAGTAGCCCACACCTGGTGGAGGGTTGGACCCCCCCCCCGCCCCGCAGCTCTCAGGTTCTCCCTCTGTTCAGTGACCAGCAGAGGAGGCTCTGGAAGGAGAAAGCCATTGGTGAAAATGTGCTCCCGCGCCCAGAAGGCAGGGATCCCGGCCTGCCTGGGGGACCAGAAGGAGCAAGGATGAGTGTAACCACATGGAAAGTTTTGGGGACCTTCCAAATAATGGGAGTAAGGTATGGGCGGGGGGGCTATGACTCAACCCCGGAGATGACACCGTTGGGTGACTGCTTCCCCCGCAGCTCTGACTTCTCACACTGTGTACCCAGCCCCTGCGAACAGGGCCGAATCCCACTCCCGGTCTGGACAGGAACAGGCGCCAGGACTGCCAGGTGCTGGGCCAGCGGAGGGCACGTGATCCCCGGGCTGGGCCTGCCACTCCGCACCTGGGAGGCTGCCCGACTGGCAAGGCTGACTGCCACCTAGCAGGCTCCTGCTGTCTGCTGCCTCTTGGAGGAGAGGCCGGGACTCCCAGCCCCCCACTGCTCCCCAGCACCTGCAGGAAAGGGGGACTGGAGAGCCACGGGGATGGGCCCAGGTGCCGCCTGACGGTGCGTGGGAGCTCCTTTTTCACATGAAGTCCTGCTGACAGCTGGTTTCTGGGAGAGCTAGACTATCCACCATTCCCTAAGGCCCCTGGCGTGCCCTCTGACTTCTTGGCATCTGATTCTCTCAGAAGCTGAGAGCTGGGTCGCCTTCCTCACCCCTGACTGGGAACAAGTAGCCATCCTATAGGGGGCCCTTCCTTCCATAGCCTGTGAACAGGATACGAACGGAAACTAACCCAGGTAGATGCCCTTCGGAGATCACTTGCATGTGCTGTCAACCCCTTAGGCTTGGTTGGTGCTGTTTTGTGGCTGTGGAGACCCCCAGGGCGATCCCAGCGCATCCTGGGTCTGGAAGTCGAGGCCCCCCCAGGCTCAGGGGCCACATCCCAGCCATGCTGAGGCTCCGTTTCTTCTCGCAGCCTCGTCTGCTGGGTGTGCTTTGCCCACTGGCAAGCTCCCCCTCTTCCGCACTGCTTCCACCCTGCTCCTGTAGCTGACAGCTTCAGGAAGGTGCAGTTGCTATGGCAATGCCTAGAGCCAT